AACTACAGTAATTGGTGTACAAGCAAATCATTTTGAAATTGAAAGGGAACGCAGAGATGACCTGGCCCAATCCTTTCATTCTGTGGATGAGAAACTAAGACACACAGCTATATGCATAGAGGCCTATAGCTGGTTTCTGTTGCTAGATCTGTTATAGGTGAAAAGAATTTACCAGGCCAGGAAAAAATGGCAGCAAGCTGTGTCCTTGCTGACAGCTGTTTCTCTAGTCTCATACAATTCTTCTTTTTCTTTTTTTTTGACAGTCTCATCTGTTGCTTAGGCTAGAGTACTGTGGCCTCATCCTAGCTCACAGCAACCTCAAACTCTAGGGCTCAAGTGATCCTCCTGTCTCAGCCTACCAAGTAGCTGGGACTACAGGCACCAGCCACAATGTCCACCTCATTTTTCAATTTTTAATAGCGATGGGGTCTTGAACTTGCTCAAGCTGATCTTGAACTCCTGAGCTCAAGTGATCCCCCCAGAGTGCTGGGATTCCAGGCCTGAGCGTCTGTGTTGACCTGTGCTTCCCACTCTTTATAATCTGTGCTCCACACAGGAAGCAGTTCCTGTTGTTTAAATATTGACAGTGTGTAAAGGTAAAGACTTTATAGATGAGCTACCTTGGACCAATATCTGTTTAAGTAAAGGCATAAATGCTTTGCTGAGACAGTAAAACGTAACGTGTGTTCCAGCAAAGGAATCCAGGACAGGAAATGCCCCACTCTGGCCCGGCCCTGGCTACCTGGAGCCCAGGCTGGAAGCCTGGACCCCGCCCTGAGGCGTCAGCTCCAGGGCAGAGGCTGTGATTTACTTCAGGCTTTGGGCAAGTCCTTGTACCCTGGCTGTTCTTCCTCTTCCTTGTTTGTGAAACAGAGATGAGGCTGATGGCTCTCACAGGTCCCTGAGAGGCAGGGGGAGAGATCAGTTCCTGTTTGGGAAACTTTAAAAGCCAGATTCCACCTTCCTGCTAATATGATTACTAGCACTTTTTGTATGAAGGGGCCAATTCCTCATCTCCCTTCTTCCTTTAAAAACAGACCAAAGGGTATCTTTTCTTGTCTCCCTGTGGCCTAAAAGCTTGTTGCTCCTGTGGTTATCTCCCTGGAAGGTCAAAGGTGAAGGATTCTTAGGTACACCACAAATTTAAAAATCAACAACAAAAATAACTGCCATGGATGATCTAAAGAGGGCTTTGGAGCTATAAACACACTTTGTAACTGAAAAAAAAAAAAAGTGCCCCTAGCCTTCCTGCAGGCCACCTCTGTCTTCAAAAGGGTAGGCCTGGGGAAAGGGGGGACAGCCAGCCTGCTTACTAGGGTCACCTTTCTGAAGGTCCCCGCCAAGGCTTTCCACAAGACACACTTTAAAAAATGTTCTGGAAGGAGAGTTAAGAGGTGTTCCTTTCAGACACACAGCTCTGCACACAACCTGTTTCCCAACCTTTGGAAATCCTTTAACAGTTTACGGAAGGCCACCCTTTAAGCCAATCCTACGGCTCCTTTCTCCATAACCAAGTTTGAGAGGTGTTTCATTATCTCTAATTACTCGGGGTAAATGGTGATTACTCAGTGTTTTAATCACCGGTTTGAGCAGCACTTACTCTAAACTCAGGGAAGCCCAGACTCCCTTGGGTATTTTTGGAAGGTGCGGGCGACTAGTCGGTGCATGCTTTCTAGTACCTGCACGTGGTCCCAGGTGAGCCCCGCGCTTCCCAGAGCGGGAGGCGGCGGCGCCCCGGCCGGGCTGCAGCTGCCGCCCCGGCGCTGCCCAGGCTTCCGGGCCCCGAGCCTAAGCTGCCCGGCCTGGCGGCGGGACCGAGGATGTGGGCGGGACCCCGAGCGCAGGGAGGCGGCGAGAGGGAGGATCTAGGGAGGGCCTGCGGGAAGGAGGTGGAGGAAGGAAAGAAAGAAAGCGAGGGAGGAGGAGGGTGGCGGGGAAGGCGCGCTGAGCCGGGCCGGGACGCGCCGGGAGCTCGGCGACGGAGCGGAGGGGCTGGAGCCTGACACGCCGCTGCTGCTGGGACAGTTCCTCGCCTCTCCCTGATGGGATTCCCGTCCGCGTCGTCTCCAGCCTGCAGCGCCCCAGTCACCGGCCCTCGCCCAGGTTCTCTGGAGCCGTCCAGAGGTCCCCAGGAGCTGCTGCGGGCGAGCCCGTTACTGCAGGCACCTATGGTGAGCGGGGCTACCTGGCGAGGGGCGCCAGGTAGAGGGGCCCGGGGAGCATCCTTGGGGCAGAGGCAAAAGGTGGCTTCATACTCCTTCCTCCTCCAACGGTGGTGCTAGAGGTGGGGATGCTGGCGCCGAAAGACACATCTGCTGCTACCTCTGCCCAGTGGTCAGAGGAAATCGCCCGCTGGTCCTTGGGCGATTTCCACCTTTGCGAGGTGCGGGGCAGGAGTGGCGGGAAAGACTGTGGGGTCTGGAGCTGAGCGCATGCCGGCAGGCTGGCGGTCGCGATCCCTGCACAGAAAGGGCGTGGAGAGGAGGGAGAGCGTGAGCGGTCTGAGGGTCCTGGCTGGGGTAGCTCTGCGGCGGGGAGCGCAGTCCCTGCCCTTTGGAGAGCCCGCGCCAACCAAATTCCGCGTGCAGGGGAGTGTCCCCAAACTTGGCCCCGAGCTGGCGGGACGCCGTTGAAAACTTGGGATCTGCAAGACGCGCCTTCTCTACGAGCTATTTTCGTCGACTTGTGGAGCCCAAGGAGATTCTCTTCTATCATTTCATGGTGTAGGGTCTGTAGGGATGATGGCCGGAATGGCGGGGCTCTCAGGACATCTTCCTGCGGTGCCGCGTCCTATGGGGATCCTCTGGAGGGACGCACAGCGGAGGCTCCTCCTAGTCCTCCCTGCCCGGAACCTTCAGGAAAAGATCCCGGGATCCCCGGGTCCCTTCAGACCTTTCAGCAGGAGCTGGACCCCGGGCCTCTGACACTTCCTGGCACAGCTTTGGCACAAGGTTTTGCGAGGATCGCAGTTTATGAGCCGAAACCCACGTGAGGCGTTAACCCCCCCCCCCCAAGACACGTACCTACTACTTGTTAAACTGAGGCTAACTCTCCACAGACTTTGGCCTTGGGAAAACGTGAAGGACAACTGCCCAGAGTTGCGTCCCTGCTCCCCGCCCCCAACAAAAAGTTCTGGAGTTGAAAGTTCTTTTGTCTTTTAGCTCTCTAATTAAAACATTTGGGAAGAAAAATGCAATTAGAGACGAATCCTACTGAATCCGAAATTGAAACACACTTCTCTGGTCCCCTATCTGCTGTTTCAGCGCAGTGAGCGTTCCCACCACTGCCCTGGGAGATTCCTAAGGGCCAAGATTGCCGTGGGATCCCGAGAGCCCTCCCCGGCCACTGTCCCTTCACCCTGCGGCACCAGCTCGTCTCCTTCGGCTCCCCCCACTTCTGGAGCTCGCCTCCGGCGGACTGTTGAGGCTACCGGGCCTCTCAGCCCTTTCTCAGCCCGGCCCTTTTGCAGTCCGTCCCAGCGGTGGTGCGGGACCAGGAAAGAAGAAAAAGCCGCGGGCCCTCACCGGGCGCCTACAGTCGCGCACGGGCGCCGGCAGCGGCGGTACCCAGACCCGCAGTGTCTGGCGGCGCCAGGCAGCGGCGGCCGGGTGGGCGGGCTGAGCGGCTCGGTCCTTTACTCCTCTTTCTCTAAGGCTTTCGAAAGTGTTCCCAAGAAGAAAACCAAGTTCGTGTGGGGAGGGTGGGGCGGACGATCAGAGCCTGTAGCCCCGGAGAGACCCAAGGCAGGAACTAGCAAGAACTGGGAAAAGGGAGGCCAGTGGAGAGGGCTCCCGGAAAGGCGTCGTGGGGCTCGGGCCCCCGAAGTGGCCCGGCGCCCGCCCTGGCTGAATGCGGAGATGCGCCGGGCAGCCCACGCGTGCGGCATCTTCAATTACAACCCGGACGTCCCAGTAACTGCTTGAGCTGTGGGTTGGTAAAATTCCTGAAGGAATGTTTGCTGCGACTTTGCAGCTGGTGCAAAGGAGGAAGGGGGTGGCGGGAGGAAGTGGCGGGGGGTGGGGAGTAGAGTGGGGTTTTTAAAAATAAGCCAAGCTGGGCCGAGGGGAGGCAGACACAGGGGTCGACCGCGCGACCAGAGCTGTTCACGGGTTCCTCGATTCCTGGGAACTTGGGGGAATTTACTTTGCGCTGGGTTAGGAGGTTCTGAAACCCCAGAGACGTTAAGACCTGAAGAATGTGATGCGCCCTTTCCGCGGCACCGCCTCTTTGCGAATCTGCCCGGAGCCCCGAGCCCAGAGCCGGGCAGTCCGCCCCTCTGCCCTCCACTTCCTTGGGCATCTACTTCGCTGGGGAGGAGACGCAGCGGCCGCCGCGCTGCGGGGATTTGCCCTAATGGGATCCGAGAAGTGACTCCAGCAGCCGCTCGCTCTCACCTCCCCACACCAATCGCCCCTAATCCCCGCGCCCGGCCCGGCGACAGGGTCCGCAGCTTTTGACTGAAAGCTAAAGCGTCCACCCTGCTCACGGAGCATTCGCAGGCATTCGCCGAGGGGTGAGTGGCTGTCCCCGGGAGCAGTATTTGGCCTTGCGAGGACCCTGAAGAGGACAAGGAGGGGTGCGCGCGCGTGTGCAGGGTCCCTCAGCGCTGTCTTTTAAAGTGCCTGGCGGTGGTGAGGCTTTGGGCAGCAAAGACGCCCCCCACCTCGGCCCCGGCTTCCCTGGAGGTTCAGCCCCCACAGTGCGCCCGGATCACCCAGTTTCAGGCCGGCTGGCGCTAGGGCCGAGCCCCACGCACTGAGCGGGGCGAGTGGAAGCGAAAACCGGGTTCCCCGAGCGCCGCGCCGCGGCTCGATGGTCGCGGACAGCCAGGCACCGGCCGCGGTCAGTGTGTAGACGCCGGGAGCTCGGTTCGGACCGCGGGGTTGGGCCGGCGCGGAGGAGGCGGGCCGAGGGGGCGCGAGGAGGGGCGGGGGCGCGGGTCCTTTCACCGCCCGCCGCGGGGCGGGGCCTCTGTGGGCCTCACGTGACTCGGAGGGGCTGGAAGAAAAACAGAGCCTGTCTGCGCCCGAGTCTCATTATATTCAAATATTCATTTCAGGAGCCATTCCGCAGTGCCATCCCCAGCTACGCGCCGCCGCCGCTTCTCTGAGCCTTTCCAGCAAGTCTGTTCAAGATTGGCTGTCAAGAATCATGGACTGTTATTACATGCCTTGTTTTCTGTCAGTGAGTAGACCCCTCTTCCTTGCCCCTCCCGGGAGTCGCCGTGCCCTCCCCGCCCTGCCCGCCGCCGGTCCCTCCCGTCGGACCTCCCCTCCGGCGTCCGCGCTCCTCCACGGCAGCGCTGTCGCTCCTGCCCGGCCGCGCAGCCGGGGCGCCCGGGGCGGACCGCTTCCTTTTCGAGGGCTGCGGGCTCCCACTTGCTCTCTCAGCTCGGCCGCCAGGCCAGAAAGGGGACCCCGAAGGGCCTGAGGAAGTGAAGATCCGCAGCCCCGGGCTGTGCCTCGAGGGCTAACCACTCCCTCCTCCGGCTGCGCTCGCCGGGGAGCGCCCCGCGCCTCCGTGGCGCGATCCCAGCCTCTTGTCAAAACTCACAGAGGTCGCTCCGGAGTCGCCTCCCACCCCTGCTCTGGGAGGGAGCGAGCGGCGCGACAGCTCTCTGTTGCTGAGCCTTTGAAACTCCCCAGCCGCAGTCCAACACACCGTCCAGATACCCTGTCGTCCCCGCCCTCGGCCTCCGGACCCTGCGCCCTCCGCCTTCGCCCTGCCCCTGCTTCCCGCTTTCCCTCCCTCCGGCTCCGAACCAGCTGGAAGTTGTGGAAGTTGGGCTCCAAGGGCGGAGGAAGCCGGCGCGGGGGGTGGAGGAAGAGGGGGAGAGGCTGAAGTCTGCCGTGGAGGCGAGGGCATTTTAATGCGCCCTCCCCCACCCTTCTTACCTTCTCACTGTTAACTGTTTATCCTTGAAGAAGCCGAGCTGAGATCATGGCTCAGATAGCAGTGGGGACAAAAAAAGATTAACAGGATGGAGGCTATCTGATTTGGGTTATTTGACTGTAAACAAGTTAGACCGAGTAATTACAGGGCGATTTCTACTTTCTGGCCGTGCAGGGCTGCAGCTGGCGGCGGCGGGGGGTGCGGTGGGGTGCCGGAGGGAGAAGACACAGACCCGACCCTTCCGACCTGTTTTACATCTTGACCCTCCATTTCCAGCCCTCTCTGTGCACATGCGGAGACATCTCTGTTTCTCTCTATTTATTGGTGTTTATTTATTCTTTAACCTTCCACCCCCTCCCCTCCCCAGAGACACCATGATTCCTGGTAACCGAATGCTGATGGTCGTTTTATTATGCCAAGTCCTGCTAGGAGGCGCGAGCCATGCTAGTTTGATACCTGAGACGGGGAAGAAAAAAGTCGCCGAGATTCAGGGCCACGCGGGAGGACGCCGCTCAGGGCAGAGCCATGAGCTCCTTCGGGACTTCGAGGCGACGCTTCTGCAGATGTTCGGGCTGCGCCGTCGCCCGCAGCCCAGCAAGAACGCCGTCATTCCGGATTACATGCGGGACCTTTACCGGCTGCAGTCTGGGGAGGGGGAGGAGGAAGAACAGATCCGCGGCTCTGGGCTGGAGTATCCCGAGCGCCCGGCCAGCCGGGCCAACACCGTGAGGAGCTTCCACCACGAAGGTCAGTCCCTGCCCCCAGTCTGAGTGGGGGGCAGTGGGAGCCCTTGGGGAGAAGAGCTCCAGTCACAATCAAAGCCCAACCCAGGGGGCTGGGGAACGCAGCTCCTTACCTCCCAGAGTTTCCAGAGCTGCCACTGATCTTACTATTTGGAGGCCAGAGCGGGCGGGGTGCGGGAGAAGGGGAATGACCCCGCTGGATAAGGGCTGGCCCCCGCGGTGTGTTTTTGCTGTATCAAAGCCTTTTCTGCCGGGTTTGCTGACCCCCTTTCTCAGAGCACCTACTGAATTTAATATTACAGCTGTGTGTTTGTCGGGTTCATTCAATAGGGGCCTTGTAATCCGATCTGAATGTTTCCTAGCGGATGTTTCTTTTCCAAAGTAAATCTGAGTTATTAATCCACCAGCATCATTACTATGTTGGAATTTATTTTCCCCTCTGTAACATGATCAACAAGACTGCTCTGTGTTCCCAGATCGCTGGGGAGCTGTTTAGGAACAAGCTCCACCGCGGAGGACGGAGAGGGCAGTGGTGTGCATGTTTCCCCCAGCCCCAGCTCTCTTGGCCCCTCTTTTTCTTTAAAGCCACTTGTAAAGAAATCTGTGTACGCAAAGCCAGGCAGGGGTTTTAAAAGGGCAGTCTGGTGGTGGTGGAGTAGAGGAGCTGACGCTGGAGATTATTAGGCATAGAAGGGAGGTTGGGCCCTGCTTTCTGCCTTTGGTGTCTGGCACATGCTTGCTGGGCTCCGTTCTGCTGGTTTAGCTGCCCCACCAATCTGCTCCTTCAGGCTAAGAGGTGCAGTTGCCCCCTAGTAGCTTCCGCTACATGAGCAGAATTCACTATTCAGGCCTAACCTCTTGGCTTTTGCATCTCTGAAAAAAGTTCATCTGCTTTTTCTTTTATCCTTTCTTCCCAACTTTACCTAGAACATCTGGAGAACATCCCAGGGACCAGTGAAAACTCCGCTTTCCGTTTCCTCTTTAACCTCAGCAGCGTCCCAGAGAACGAGGTGATCTCCTCCGCAGAGCTGCGGCTCTTCCGGGAGCAGGTGGACCAGGGCCCTGACTGGGAGCGGGGCTTCCACCGCATAAACATTTATGAGGTTATGAAGCCCCCGGCAGAAGCGGTGCCCAGGCACCTCATCACACGACTACTGGACACGAGACTGGTCCACCACAATGTGACACGGTGGGAGACTTTTGATGTGAGCCCTGCAGTCCTTCGCTGGACCCGGGAGAAGCAGCCGAACTATGGGCTGGCCATTGAGGTGACTCACCTCCATCAGACACGGACCCATCAGGGCCAGCATGTCAGGATTAGCCGATCGTTACCTCAAGGGAGTGGGAATTGGGCCCAGCTCCGGCCCCTCCTGGTCACCTTTGGCCATGATGGCCGGGGCCATGCCTTGACCCGACGCCAGAGGGCCAAGCGTAGCCCTAAGCATCACCCCCAGCGGGCCCGGAAGAAGAACAAGAACTGCCGGCGCCACTCGCTGTATGTGGACTTCAGCGATGTCGGATGGAATGACTGGATTGTGGCCCCACCAGGCTACCAGGCCTTCTACTGCCACGGGGACTGTCCCTTTCCACTGGCTGACCACCTCAACTCAACCAACCATGCCATTGTGCAGACCCTGGTTAACTCTGTCAATTCCAGCATCCCCAAAGCCTGCTGTGTGCCCACTGAGCTGAGCGCCATCTCCATGCTATATCTGGATGAGTACGACAAGGTAGTGCTAAAAAACTACCAGGAGATGGTAGTGGAGGGGTGCGGGTGCCGCTGAGACCAGGCAGTGCTGAGGACAGACAGACACACACGCTCCCACCCACTCACCCACACCACACAGACTGCTTCCTTCTAGCTGGACTTCTATCTTTAAAGAAAAAAAAAAGGAAAAAAAGTAAACATTCACCTTGACCTTATTTATGACTTTACGTGCAAATGTTTTGACCATATTGATCATATATTTTGACAAAATATATTTATAACGACATATTAAGAGAAAAAAATAAAATGAGTCATTATTTTAAAGGTAAACCATGGCCTTTTCCTTTTTCATCCTATCCCTCTTCCTTCAAGGGATATCTTGTATGAGGAGTTTTCCTTTTGAGGTGAGTTGAGGCTGGATGGAAGTCAGAGGGCAGTGGTTCAGCTGTTGGGACAGAAAGTAAACCCACCGCAGAGAGAGAGGGCAGTTGTCCTCACAGGTTGTCTCCATCTCAATTAAATGACCCCTGCCTTGGAGAAACAGTGGGATGAAAGGAGTAGGTCAGATTAAGGACTCAGTTCTGGGCTCCTTGTTCGTCTTCTGATTTTGCTCACCTGTTATGAAGTGTGTGAGGCCTGAGTGTGATTAAGTCTCAACTCTAGAAAAATGATTCCCACATTCCCACCTCTGCTTTTGTGATACCTCAGGTGTCACCAGTTATTAGAGGCCAATGTAGTTTCAAACCAGAACTAATTTGCTCACTAGTATATTAACAAGTATATACATGCTTGCATGCTTTTTGCATGTATATATATGTATGCAAGCTTTTTTACCCCCTAAGCAGGAGTTTTTTGTTTCGTTTTTTTATTTTTGAGATGAGGGTCTTGTTATGTTGTCCAGGCTGGTCTTGAATTCTTGGGCTCCAGTGATCCTCCTGCCTTGGCCTCCTGAGTAGCCGGGATTATAAGAATGCACTGTTTTTTGTTTGTTTGGTTTGGGGGGGGTTCTTTTTGAGAAGTGGGTTTTACCTAATAAATAATGTGCCCTAACTTGAGAAAGGTTAGTGACTACTATTTCCACATACCCCATGGTAGAATTCTTTTTCTTGACTTTTTCCCTTTTCCTCTGTCGACCTCATGGAGACCTGGGTAGGGGTTGACAGCAGGGTCAGATACTGAAGGGGTGGGGTTTCTAAGTAGGCACCAGGCAGACCTTCCACAATCTTTTTGTCTGTGCTGGTACCCTTCCCTGGGGCTGGGCAAAGAGTGGTGGGTCTCATGTTGTAAACCAGAGTTTCTTTTAGAAGAAAGCTCAATTTTTGGCCAAAGCAAAATAAAAAACTGTATCCTGCTAAGGTACTTGGAGTGGGGGAGCCTCTTAGTTAAGGGCTGCCAGCTTTCTGGAATGGCATAGGGAAAGGCCTTTGCTTTTTCTTACCTTCCACCAACAACTAAATTAAACCCTGAATCTTAGCCTGCTCAGGCTCATTTCCAACTATTTTCTCTGCCTGGGCCTGGGTAGATTTGGGACAAAGGCAGTGAGTGGTTGTCTTTGTATAGTTTGCCCGGGGAAGACTGAGAGTGCATCTCTCCTTTGCGAAGGTGCTGGTGTGAGTGCTGTTGCTCTGGCAAGTGGCGTGGTGTGTGCACAGAGAAGGTGCATGTGCCCCCCCCCCATTTGTGTTTTCTGTGTGTGCACCCTTGCATTATCTGTACTCACACTCTTGCATATGCTCTTGGGGGTGGGGTGGGTGGGTGAGGCAGACTCATTTTGTTTTTAATTACTGACTACTCCTCCAAAGGAGCAGCTAGTGGAAACTAATAAAAATAGAAGCGGGGTAGTTGCCAAAGGCCCAGCTCCCTGGGGAGCGCAGGTGGAAAGGAGCTCAGAGCCTCAAGCTAAGGCAATAAGACTCCTGAGTTCCTCCAAACTCCGGGCACAGGAGGATCCCGCCACCCCCTTGAGCCCCCCAGGTCGCTGCCCCTTTGATTAATGGTAAGGAGCTCAAATAAATCATGTAGGAAGCCCATTATGGGCTCCCCTCAGGCGGCCTCATTTTGTTTTGCGGATTTCCAGCAACTTTCTGAAATGTCCGTCTCACTGAAAAGAAACCAGTACATCTCCAACACTTGGACAGGTTATTCCAGGGTGAGTACCCAGCGGCGCGGCTGTCCGGCCCGGCCCGGGTCACTTTCTAGCAATGACTTCCCCGCCGCCCCCTCCTTCCTCTGGCTTCCTTTCAGGAATGGATAATGTTGTTTTTTTGTTCAGCCAAATATTTGATCTGGGGAATTTACCGTGAAATTCTGTGAATTGTATATACCTAGTTGACAAAATAGCCCTAATGCCACAAATGTTACCATGGAGAACAAGGAACTTCAACTCTTTAAGTTCTGTTAGAAAGGGCAGCCTTGCGGCTCCGCGAGGCCAGAAGTCGGATGCAGGCCATTATTAAATCTAAGTGTTCGTAGTTACTGTTTTTGCCCAGCACCTCATGGAAGTTGTAGTGTGATTCTCAGCGCTGCTTTTGGGCCAAGCCTGCCACTCCCCCACTACATGTATTTTTCTCCCAGAGTAAGGTTCCCACTTAAAGAGAGATGGGAAGGGACCATCACCGTTGGGGAGCTCAGCACGGCTGTAACCACATCAGAGGAGCTGCCGGGTCCATCTCTGCCCAGCCCTTAAACTGGAATCAGCTTCCTGGGAGCTTAAATTAAAAAAAAAAAAAAAAAAAAAAAAAGGACGAGGGGCGGGGTGGGGGACGCATCGCACATTCCCCAGTTTTCGTTGCATAATTCGGAACCTGCCAGGTGACCTGCTGACTTTGTTTTCCGACTGCAGCGCGCAGGGCCTCCCACCCCCTCGCGGCCGGCAGCGCACGCTGAGGGGGCGGGGCGAGGGCGGACCCTGCACCCAGGCTGGGCGGGACTCGGAGGCCCCGCCCCGAGGCCCCGCCTACCCCTGCTCCGGCGTCCGGGGCCCGGCGGCGGCGGCGGGGGCGCCAGGGGGCGTCCTGGCCGCGAGTTAGGAGCGGGGACCGCTCACCTGGCGGCTGCCTCCCCGCACCAGTCAACGCGCCCTGCGGATCCCTGGCCCCACCCGCGGTGCCGTGCCGCTCGGCCATCCCCGGCCCCCGCGCGCAGGTGAACCAGGGCGGTCTCTCGGCGGAGTCCGGGTGGGTGGGGTCTGGCGGCCTTGCAGGAGCGTGGAGTCTTGGAGAGAAGGCTCGAGGCCGTCAGGGCTTTCCTGTGACGAGTGGAGAGCGAGGACCAGGGAGCGCACGGGCCGGCGTGCTGGAGTGACTCCGCGGGCTCGGACGCGCGGGCCGACGAGGAGCACGGCCGCTGGCTGGGCCGGACCGGCACGCAGGCCTAGACCGCCAGCTCAGGCTCAGTCCCCTTACCCCCTCCCTGCCACCTCCCCGGGGACCACGGAGCTCTGGGCCGTCTCTGGACTGCCACCGTCCCCTCCCTTCTCCTCCCTCTCCACTCCCTCCCCAGACGTTGGGAGAAGGAGAACAGGAGAGGCCCAGGGTGTGTGAGAGTCCAGTTGGCTGATTTCTTTCAGAAATGAGCTGCCGAGCCAGTGATACACAATGACAGCACCTCAGCTGACCTCTGCAGGGCCTCTGGCCCAGGGACCCAGTGCCCGCACCCCCTCCCCCATAGGTGAGCTGGAGAATAGAGCTTATCTGAGGCCCAGGTCTCCAAACTCTTTGTCTTCCAAGACACTTTGGCTTCAACACAGAGCAGATTTTACTACTCACTCAGCCTCTCTTTAAAACGAAAAGAATAATGCAAATGCGATGTTGTTGACCTTACGCTGCTACCTGAGAGCCAGAGGTTATTAGTATTCCCCGGAGGAATCTGGGATACTGGTGGACTTGCTTACCATGTGATGCAACGAGCACAACTCTGAAAACTCATGGACATTAAAGTCAGAGTGGGAGAGTGTGGTGGGGGACGAAGGGACCCTTTCCCCGTGTCTTCAGCACCTAATGCAGAATGAACAAGCAGGAAGAACTGCCCGGCTCGCCCTTGGAGAAGTGGCTGGGTTCAGGAAAAATACTGGATTGCTCTGGTGTTAAAAAATAAAAAGCAACTTACAGAAGTTTTGAAGTCAAAAGTTCAAGATGTTTAATATTTGGTCAATCCTAGAAAAAAATTAAAATGTTTTTTTTCACAAGAAAGCCATTTGAAATGACTATTCATAGGTCACTTTATTTTGGGTATTAACTGAGACAAGTTCCAACTGCCTCAGCTTTTTCTCTCTCTTCAAAATGCTCTTTTAAAACCCTAAAGGAAAATACAAATGTGTAGTTTGCTGTTTTGAACAAACAATTCGGAAAATATTATACTATAGGATTCAGAAAGATTTACTTCAAAAATGTGCAATTTGAGAAAAAGAAGAAAAGCTGGAACAGTAATCTGCTGAGTTATATTACTAATGAGAATTTCTTAAGTCTAACTTTCAGTTTTGCCACATTTTCTGAAGAAAATATCCCATTGATATTTTATCTTTTCAAAACTTGGTTTCTAGCAAAAATATTTAAAAATTACATGTCTGCCTGCCCCAAATCCTTGAACGCCACCCACAAGGTGCAAGTGGATTCTAGTTTCACTGAGTTTCATTATCGTTCCTTTAGCTTTTATTTTTTCTTCAGTTTTATTAGCTGAGCCCTAGCCAGCAGATAAGTCTCTAAAGGGTCCACAGCACGCTGAGATTTTAAACTTTGGACTTGATCGTTTAATTCCGTAACTATTTCTCTTTCCCTATGGTACCGACAACTGACTCCATCCTGCATATAGTTACCCACAATTAGTGAAGAAAAGGTACAGCTGTGTTCAACTCAAGCTTCATGCTGATTTAATCTTTTAATCCTTGTCGTTTGGTTTTCCAAGCAGTTGGCTTCTGAGGTAGGACCCTGGGGAAAGACATGTACATGAGAGGGAGAAAGAGGGGGTGAGGGGAGGGTTGACAGAATTTCAGTGTACTTACCGAAGTCATCTAGGTAACAACAGGTATGGTTAAGGCTATACCTAATGTCCCTTGAACTCATCTATCACTCAGAAGTAGAAACGTGTGTATCTTATACCAACTGACTGATAAATCATCTTTGATCAGTCAGGGAGACCTACATAACTCAAAGTGTTACCTTCATCTCCAGAAAGCATTTCATGTCCAGTTATGATGTCTCATTCCAGTTGGTTAGATACCACTATCGCTTTCCCTCTTTCATTGTTTTTAGCATTTAGTAAAATGACGTCTAAAAACAAATTATGGCAGGTGGCGCCTGTGGCTCAAAGAGTAGGGTGCTGGCCCCATGTGC